TAAGAAGTTATTTTCCTAATGTACGCTTTTTCGCATTTTGGGATAAGAACAACAATAACACATTATTATCTTACTACAGTCTGCCATACCTCCATTGGTCCATTCAGTTTATTTGTTCCTGATAGAGAATGTCGTACAATAAAAACAAAATTGAATATGAGATTTTATTTATTGCAAATGTCTTCATATTTTTCTCTTCTTCGTCAGCGATTACAAAGATAAAGAACATATGAGACAATAGAAAAATAACATGCACGTTACGACAGTTGTATTTGAAGAATCTTTTATGAGTATAGAACGTAATTCTGTTGAAAAATATATGTTTTTGTTCTTCAATACAAAAGGATCATGTAGCATACAAACAGAATACATTTGTAATACAATTCCTCTGTCGGGTAATGGAGTGTCACGAGAGAACAATTATTAGCTTGCGAAATCGGTCAACCGTGATACTTAGCGTGACATCTCTTACGTGAGACGCGTCGAAGTAGCTGCAGCGGAAAAGCTCCTTCGGAGATATCCGACGGCTCTGCGAGCCGCGACCTCTCCGCGTTTTTGCGGAAGAAGGCCAGAGATAGCTCGTTGGTACTCTCCTCTCGCTTCTGTCGCTCGAAAGAAATTAGTTTTCTCGCGAGGAAAGAATTCGCTGTCGCTCCGATCCGCGCGCGTCGCGCCCTTGAAGCAGTCACGCAGCCCGGACAGTCACGGCGACACTCTCGGAATCGAGAGAGAGCGACAAAATGGTTCTCTGGGCGCCAGCTGTAGGTCAACCGGATACGGATCGTCCCGTAAACCGACAGCGTGAAATAGTCGGGAATGGGATCTGTTCGTAGTTTTTGGAGGAGCGCCGCGCGTTGTGTGACCTGCAGCACGGAGAAGTCGGCGACCGATCGCATCGCGTATTCCCGCCGCGCGCGTCCAAGCCCGGTATTATAAAAATGCAATGAGAAGGCTGGAAGCGGCTCTCCGTGTCGCGGCTTTAATTCGATTTCCGTGTTCGAACGCTCGGCCGCCGGAAACTCGTAAGCTTGCAGTAAATGAGCCAACTGGGACGTAATAAAATTCTCAATGGCGTTCGACGTGCAGGCCGGACGTCCCTGAGTCCGGCGCCAACGCGCGCGATGAGAGCGGCTGATAAATGTAGTAATTAATAAAATTGCGGCCACCCCGGTCCTGCCGTGTTACGTTCCACCATATACGCGAGAGATGAGGCTCACCTCCGGATCCGCCGGCTTCGTAAAATGGAGGGAAACTTCGGCGCGCCTCCGTCGGCGTGCGACTAAGCCCGATATTCCACGGTAAATCTTGTCGGGATTTCTGAGGACTTCTCGAAAGATTGGAGACGGGAAATAGGATTAAGGAAAGAGTTCACTAATTGACTCGTTACCCGTAAAATCCCGAGATTCTCCCAGGAAAAGGGACGAGGCCTGTGCGCGACGATCGCGCGAGTTTCATTTCGTTGAGTTTTATAGCGATATAAAGAGCGCTCGCGTTCGTTTTCCCTCGATTCGTTATCCGGCGCAAAGTTACGACGCCATTCGACACGTTGCAGTCGTTCAGTTTGCAACGCGATCATTGCTATATGACCGTTCGTGTGTGTTACGTGATGTCAAACGTTTTGTCGAATTTAAACACGTATATCGGAATATATTTCATGCATTTTAGGCACGCCAATGTAAAGTGAACGAAATTGAATTGCCATTAGTAACTGCATAAACGTTTGAGTTTGTTATATAATGCGATTTCCAATAAGAGAATAAAGAGCACGGTTATCCATTAAAGAACATTTGCGATCATAAATTGACCGGTACGGTTCGTATATCGCCAATTCTATCGATCGTTTTTGCAGCTACAAATTATTTCAGGAAAGTCCATTGGAGGAAGGTTATTGGAGATAAAAGATAATCTGTTAAAAAATGTTTAATCCCCCTTCTAATCAAATAATCTTTTCCTCGTCGGTGAACTCAATAAAAATACAATTACATGTGAAATGACACGCGATAAACGTTGAGAATTCGTCCACGCCCGGTGTACGGTCAAGTGTCGGTTCTCAACGCTTCGTGTTGAGAGCAACGAATTGCCGGATTTTACTGCCGTCAGTACCTATCTGAAGTTTTTACGAGGACCGGCCGGTGTGTTCGTGTAACCCCTCGAGTCTTTTACGTACTATAATCGAGGATCAGCGGCAATCATGGTATCGAGATCCAGGAGAACGAGACGCGAGAAACTAGAATCATAAAATTCGGAATCATTAAAATTAACAAAAATAAAAATTTAATTTGAAAAAACGATTAATGGGAGATATAGGTGAAAAAATAATGGCATGTTAAGCATAAAGCAAGGAACAATAAAAAAAGATACATATATATACATATATATATATGTATATATGAAATAGAAAATATATATTATATATTAAGTTGACCAAGAGAGACCACGTCTAAATATCGAACTAATTTGCCGCGTTATATTATTCTTGGGTTAATGGCGATTTATTGGCGCGTGTATCTTTCGTTCGCATTATAAATCCTATGCATGTATAATGAAGTAATTACACTGCCTTTCATCATTATCGCGCGTTGAATTAAAATGCCAAAAATACAAATATCGAAGGAGGGTATTGTAGTACCGAAACGAGGCCATTAAAGTAGAGCATATAATTTCTTTTTATATGTAATATTGATAACATTAATAAAATTTTAATAAAATTATCTCTGCAATATCAGTATTGCGTCACTTTGATTTTCATTCTCTCCGCGTAATGTGATACGCGTTATTTGCGGAATATTACGAAAATGTACGAGATCGTGCGCGAAAATTTGTTATAAATTATACGTTCTTCCCACTGCAAAGTATTGACTGCACTTCGAAATGTGAAATCTTTTGTGATTTTAAGATTACCATCAAAATAAGATATTTTTCGAGTGTTAGATATACAAGAAACGGCGGCCGGTAACGATAGCTCATGAAAAGAGAAGTATTGACTTTCTGCACAGTTGCACGACGGTGTATTTGGTCTCGAAATCTTATTATCCCAGTTGTCGGAGTTCAAAATTAAATCCCGCCGTTTCGCTTTGATTCGTGGAACGTAAACCATCCTATCTTTTTGCAAGCCTCCAATCTTTATTTGCACTACAATTACGGCTAATTTGTTCTGAAAAGTGTAATGTATAATTTTTTTTTTTTTTTTTCATAAATAACGTTTGCATTAACAGAATTACACACGAATAGTACACGAGAAGAGAGAAACATTAAAAAGAGATTATTTTGTGGTAAATTATAAAAACAGGTATTTTTCACAAAGTTCGTCACAAAGTTTTGTTGAATGTATCTTATGTGTGTATATTTAAATTGTGACAGATACAAATTTTATTTTATTTATTCACTATTATCCATCATTTTTAAAAAAATACACTCAGATATACATGAAAAAAAAACTGACATAACTTTGTTAATGATTATAAATGTTTATTTTAACAAGTTCATGAAATATACACGTGTGCATAACTCGTCAGATTTTCAGTGGAATACTGTTTATGAATTAATTAGAATTATCTAGAATGATATCGTAATTTAAATCACGCGTCATACTTTTTGCGATTAGAATATATAATAATATATTAATTTTTGCTAAAAAAATCAAGATTTTATCGAGTATTTTGCATCAAAAATGCATTGTCAAGTATCCGATATTCCTTCCGTACACTCTCTCCTCGCTTCCGATTTGAGTATCTATGGCGAAATGACGTCCCTCTCGGTATCAAATAAGAAGATCGGAAATTTGTAGATTCATGGAGGTCGAAGCACGAGAGATGCGCTATGAACAACGTTTGCTTTCTCCCGTTTTCGTGCGCGTTTCCACTCCAAAGTGGCTCCTTGATCCGCGTTTCTCCGATTTGAGGAAGTCGGGACTGGGAAATTCAATCTGGTGATAGATTCGCGTGCACGTGGTGGTTGCAGGTCAACGACGAGCTATCAGAGGGAATGAAAAAGATCGAACATCACACAGGGCGTATTTCAAGTAACTCTACCTCAATTTGTATAACGTTTTCCAACTTGCGTATCCATTTAAGGAAACACAATTTGCCTAATATCCCTTGAAATTTAGTTGCACAAATTGTCTTTACACTAGCAATATAAATATTGTACAATACCGATTTTTGTAAAGTCGTGAACCGAAATAAGGAAAATTTAATGTTTAATATTGCAAATAATATTATTATTTGTCGTAAAAATAAAAATATTAGAAATGTGTAAATATATGAAAAATTAAGTAAATTAAAAAGTAATTTATTTAATTATTTTTATTATAAGAGAAAGTAGGTGTTATAATTTTTGTTTCCTATTTATGTAAATATTTACGGACAATTATTTCTCTTGAGTAAAATTTTGAAATATATCCATATATTTTAAACGTTGTGAGTACAGTTTAAATGAGTTAAGCGACGTCATGTGTTCAGTTAATAAGTACAAAGTTGAAATTAATTATTTTAATATTTTATATTAATTGCCTATCATAAATTCGATGTTTATATGATGTGTTAAAAAGTCTCTCTCCCATGAGATTTACTCGATCGAAATTTATGTGAACAGTTAATAACTGTTGCAAAATGCGACCAAAATTATGTCAGTGGCGAATTTTCGGACATCACGTTTCGCAAATAATTATCTTCAATTTTAATTTATATATTTCTTGATTCTTCACGTATATTATAATACAAACTAACAATTATGATAGACTAGTGACACTATCTGCTAGTAACAGATGTAACGTGATTGCAACGGATGACGAATAAGTTACAACTTCCATTCTGTATCGATTAGTCGTACAATTTTCATATTCTTTCCCTTCTGTTTGAAAGTTCGTTGCATTAATTTGCGAGACACGGATATCGAATAGTTCATACTTTTATACGATATTTTTCATATTGCTCTTCTCTCTCAATATAATGTGATCGTTTGATGATTATTCTAACGAGTAAATATTGTGTGTTATGCAGGAATAAGTGGACAAGGAGGAATAGGAAAGAAGAACGAGACTCAAGGAAATATACGACGATGGAGGTCGCATAAGAGTGAGTTACTTATTCTCTTTCACGTATATACTTTAAAAATTCTCTCTTTATTACTTGTTATCTGAGTCAGTCGCTCAGAATTAACTTATTTATACACAATGACTTCTAGTTACCCTTCCGAATGCGCTATTGCTATGCGAAGTATCGTATGATAGCTTTTAGACGTACGTTATATAAATGTAGATACAGACAAATTTATCGTGCAGCATCGCGCTGAAACTACCAGCTAGCTCGAAACTATCAGCTGTACGAAGAATAAAAATGTCGCGTGGCACACGTCGCGGTGGATTGGGACAGCGGCGCGTTTGCTGTCTGAATTTTTATTCGGAACCGGGCATGCATAATCGAGCGTTTCACGTGCAACGCCTCCGGCACCGTAAATCGATAGTCTTCCTTTTCGTTCGATTCGAGAGCCGCGGCTGCTTGTAGCTAGAACGTGGGAGGCTAAAGCACGACAGCGAAGAGAACGATGATGGGGACGCGTCTCGAGAGAAGATTTCCCGTGGAGCGTATGCCGCGAGCTTAGCGCCGCTTTCCGATTTTTGTTGTGACAGTCTCTTTTTGAACTATATAACATAAATTTAATACGGGGATTGCGTTATATCTATTGAATATTTTCTCTCGACAATGGACGCGAAAGGTTAAATCTATATCTTTTTCAATATTAAAGCTAGTAGCTACGAGATATTAGTGAAATGTTAATATTTCAAATTAATAGTCAAATAATATATCTAGCACAATAAAGATTAACAAACTTCGAATTCTTAAACTGAATAGATAGAATAAGAATACGTTTAAATTGATGGTAAAATATCGACTTGCTCTTGTTCTATTGGTGAATCTATAATATATTAATTATTCTCAATCTTCGATAAAAGGAAGATCTGTATTTGCACAACGCATTTTTCGTAAATCCACGCGACCGTGCAGGGACACGCATATAGCATAGGCCAACCGTCATGAATCAATGAGGATTTCGATTAGTGATAGAATTCGCAAAAGCGACCGAGCGTGATTCAATGCAGATGCTCAAAGCTCCCTCGTACTTGGCCGATCCGCGAATTTCCGGTTCCCTTGTTCGACCCCAAAGATCGTCATATCTTCGCGGATATTGAGACGGATATCGGACGTGCAGCCTAATGGAGAAAGACCGTGGCTGCAATATCCGACGGTCTACGAAAGACTGGAGGGATAAAGCGGGGCAGCGAGGGGAGAAAGCGAGAGCCGTGGGAGGGAGGGAGGGGAGAGATGCTTGGCCGCAAATTCAATACCCAGTGGGCTTTGTTTCGCCGGTCAGGATAAATTAGCAGCCGCGCGGAGCGCGATGCGGCGAACTTGTTCACGACCAACTTCGGTCTCGCGTAACAAAGTGCGGACTAGACCGGGTTGCGACGGGTTCACGAGTAAGTAGTCCGCAGTCTCGGCAGCAGGAAGTAACTACAGTTGCCGGAACTCGGGGAGTCTTAGCAGGGGTGGATTGATCCCTCTGTTGCTACGCGCGGTTGACAGTATCGTTATGTTTAGGAACGGTGGAAGTTCAGTCTGTGATAACTTGTCCCGATCAGTGGTTACGGGAGAGATATTAGGAGTTCTATTGCTGCTAATGATTCGTCATTTATCTCACAGTGTATCTTCGCGAATTTCGAGACTTTGCGTAATCGAGCAGAGTGCGCTGAAATATGATGACTTCGACAACTTAGTTTGATATACACATAACATATCTCGTTTAATGTAAATAGCAAACCTTGTAACATTCAAAATGCATAACTCAGTAAATTTGTTAATCTTTTAAAATCGCACAGAGATCTTACTATTTGCGAAGATTTTTATAATTTTCTGTTAAAAATTAGAAATTCTTTTTCAAGTTCTATAAACTTCTCCAATTAGAACTGATCAATTTCAATGATTATCGCACGCTTGAATAGTGATCAACGACTGCTGGCTCGGTCATGTTCACGGTCGCTGTCAGGTAACCCGTGTCATTCGTGTCGGTCCGATCAATACCGTCGTATACGATTCGGCAACGTATACTGAGCGTGATTCTGCATGATGTACCGCGATAGGCGTTGGACAGAATCATACGACACGAGCTTCGCGAGATATCCGTAAAGATATCTACTTTCCTGATAGAATGCGCCTCGCTGCACATCACTGCGGACGAATTAGGAGCCGCGTGTATCGATAAACTTCCGGATGGACAACTTCGTTTGCGGCTAAGAGTCTGCTCGCGGAACACACCCGAGTTTCCGAAAGTAACGGAAACGGATGCGCCCGGGGCGCGTCGCGAAGTGAACTTCGGACTAAAGTTTTCGAGCTGAAGCTCATATGTGCTCACCGAGAAGAGGAGGCACTTCAGTTTTCAGAAGGATTCTTCTCCTCCGCTAAACGCATTAAACAACTATCCGTGGCAACCCGCGCTCTGTCCGCGATTAATCTAAGAAAAAGTTTCTAGGACTTTCATTCAGCGCAGGCAGTGTGCTGCGAGTGCGGAAGAAAGGGGGAGGGCGAAATAGAATTTGTGTAAACTTTTGCAAAGGAGAGAAACGAGAAAGAGTCTTCATTCGGCGCGAGCCGTCAGAAGAGTAATTACAGAGACACAGGTCAATGAAGTGACTTGTCTTCTTTAACTATTTTAACGGCTGTAAATGGAATGTAAATTGAGAACTTCCGCCAAGTTCGATTGCAGTATTGTCGTTGACTTCGGTCTTAACGTCGTCTTATATAGGTAGTCGTTCGAGCATTCAAGTCATCGCGTACTCTCGACTCCCGGCCTTTCCGAGCTACAAGGGTTACGTTCACGACAACTGCGCTGCGCGTATATTTACCCTCTTGCATGGGTACTCAAAGCATCCCTTGTCGCGTCAGCGCCAATTTGTGCGCGTGGCAGCTCCACAAGCTCGGCAACAACATTTCGGCGATAACTCGAGCGCGTAATTAACTTTTTTTAATTAATAAAACGCCTCCCTCCACACGCGTGCGAAGAGCGCACTTACGCTTTGTTGTAAGGAAGACGAAGGAGTACGAGGAAGGGGAGCGGAAGTGGCGTATTTACGATGCTCGTGCGCGCACACGCGATTATATGCCGCGACAATGGAATGAGGACAACCCCGGCGAAAATTCCTCCCCTCCGCGCAGTCCTTTTAGAAACGTTACACCGTGAAAATAAAGGAGAAGTACTGCGCGCGTTACTCGCATTTCCTCCGCGCGCCACAAAGCGGGCGCGTTCTACAGGTGCGACACACGTATACGTCCTTTCGAGTCCCCCTCGAAAAACTGAACGCGAGCATGTTATTTTACGCATGTCGAGACGGCGACTGACGTTATTTGCGAAACGGAATAAGCTTCTTCACACAACTCGAGGTGAGTCAGTCGCGGTGAATTAAAAATCTGGACTCGCAATTTCGCCGAGACACTCGACTGTCACGCCCATCTTCCGTTTCAAGTTTGTCGCGAGAACTTGTTGCTTGCCTGTCATCTTTTAATTAATCATTCCTCTGAGCGCGCGCTGGAACTAATCGAGAGCGGATTGTGTACATTCTCCCAGTAGTATATCCTTTCTTTAAGCGGCTGTCTCGAATAATGTGAAAAATTGATATTTATTATAAATTTGATTTTTCAAAGATTAATTAGACGTCAGAAGTGAGGTATTTAATCACTGCGGCATCCAGACACGTTTATTCGCTTGAATTCGCATATCTATACACGAACCTTCGCGCACTGCAACTATGCATGAATTAGCAAATTAGTTGGAAATAGAATCGCTCAGGAATAGAGTATTAGACTTATGGAGGGATACGCGGAAGTGCACGTACGTACGGAACCAAATAACTCGGCAGTGGCAGGTGTAAACGGCGGAGCACAATGAAAATTGGATTATTAAGTTCTCAGTTAGGGATCCCTTTCACGGTATTGAGTTAGCAGACTTCAGGAAGTCAGCCAGCCAGCAGATGGGAGGAGCGAACGAAAAAGCAATAAAGACCGGGGGAGGGGGGGATGGCGAAACAAAGGGATAATGGTGCGACCTGCTGCTGGTAGTAGCATTAACTGGGGACTTGTTTCGGGCGGATGGAAGCAGAAAGTGCACACGACGACAAGACTGACGGAATACGTAATGCGCGCTGCACGCGATAAGATTCCTCCGCCGTCTGTTACAAACGCGTGCAACATTACAATAGCAAAATTCCGAAACGACTGCCGACGGGAATCACGACTGAAATTTATCTCTCCAACGTCAGGTCTCTTAAGAAATATTGTGCATTAACAGCCGCCGTATATCAAAGCGCAGTAAAAATTACACCAGGATAAATAATAAAGGGACTGCCGGAAGATATTCGCGCGATTCATAAAAATGAAGTCGACGCGGGGCGCGCCGTATATTTCAATATACGTATATGCGTTTACATATTTTATGCGAAACGAGCAGGATCGGCCAGGATGTATCAGCATAGCAGGTGTAGATTTGAACTGTGCTTGCAACTGCTGCATACGTGCAGATGCGTTTGAATTTATCATGTGACCACATACAATTTCAGCTTGTGTGCTCTGGCTCGCGTGCACGTACACGGAGCACGCGTTTTCTCAGCAGCAACGTTCTCCGTGTCGGTTCAGAATTGACGTGAACAGCGTATGTTACTGCCAAGAATCAATGGTGGAAAGCTCGACACCGTGAAACTCGTACCAGTGTTCTTTTCATTCGAGAAAAATTCAAAGCTTTGTAATAAGTGAAAGATAAAACTCGCGAGGTGTGAAAATGTAACCAATAATTATGTCACGTCAAACTGAATTGCTGTTATATTAACAAGAATTGTTGTATTAACACGAAGAAATTACAACGGTTGCAATTTATCTAAAACTTTCGAAATCGATTTATCGGACTTTCAGTTAAACTACAATAAAGTGCGTGTTAACGATTATTAATCTAAACGACAGTGTCGAATTTATTAAATTGTTCTATTAATTGCACACTGTCTGTTTAGCACACATTTTATTATCAATTAATA